CACCCTGACACACCGCAGGTCCTACAGCCCCTATAGCATGATATCCTAAAGCACCACAGTCCCTACAGCAATACAGCACAACAACCTGACGCACTGCAGTCCCTATAGCACAACATCCTGATGAGCTGTGGTCCTACAGCCCCTATAGCACAATACCCTGACGCACCCCAGTCCCTACAGCCCCTATAGCACAACGTCCCTACACACCGCGGTCCCTACAGCCCCTATAGCACAACACCCCAACGTACCACAGTCCCTACAGCCCCTATAGCACAACGTCCCTACACACCGCGGTCCCTACAGCCCCTATAGCGCAACACCCCAACGTACCACAGTCCCTACAGCCTCTATAGCACAACGTCCCTACACACCGCGGTCCCTACAGCCCCTATAGCACAACACCCCAACGTACCACAGTCCCTACAGCCCCTATAGCACAACATCCCTACACACCGCGGTCCCTACAGCCCCTATAGCACATCCCAATGTACCACAGTGCCTACATCCCCCATAGCACAACACCCCGACACACCGCGGTCCCTACAACCCCTATAGCACAGCACCCCAACGTACCACAGCTCCTATAGCACAACACCCTGACACACCACAGGTCCTACAGCCCCTATAGCACAATATCCTAAAGCACCACAGTCCCTACAGCAATACAGCACAACAACCTGATGCCCCACTGTCCCTGAAGTCTCTATAGCACAATATCCCGACGCACCGCAGTCCCTACAGCCCCTATAGCACAACACCCTGACACACCGCAGGTCCTACAGCCCCTATAGCATGATATCCTAAAGCACCACAGTCCCTACAGCAATACAGCACAACAACCTGACGCACTGCAGTCCCTATAGCACAACATCCTGATGAGCTGTGGTCCTAGCCCCACAGCCCCTATAGCACAATCCCCTGACGCACCCCAGTCCCTACAGCCCCTATAGCACAATACCCTGACGCACCCCAGTCCCTATAGCACAACATCCTGATGAGCCGTGGTCCCACAGCCCCTATAGAACAACATCCAAATGCACCGTGGTCCCTACAGCCCCTATAGCACCACAACCTGACACACCGCAGGTCCTACAGCCCCCATAGCATGATATCCTAAAGCACCACAGTCCCTACAGCAATACAGCACAACACCCTGACGCACTGCAGTCCCTATAGCACAACATCCTGATGAGCTGTAGTCCTACAGCCCCTATAGCACAACACCCTGACGCACCCCAGTCCCTATAGCACAACATCCTGATGAGCTGTAGTCCTACAGCCCCTATAGCACAACACCCTGACGCACCCCAGTCCCTATAGCACAACATCCTGATGAGCTGTAGTCCTACAGCCCCTATAGCACAACACCCTGACGCACTGCCGCCCCTATAGCACAACATCCTGATGAGCTGTGGTCCTACAGCCCCTATAGCACAACACCCTGACGCACTGCCGCCCCTATAGCACAACATCCTGATGAGCTGTGGTCCTACAGCCCCTATAGCACAACACCCTGACGCACTGCCGCCCCTATAGCACAACATCCTGATGAGCTGTGGTCCTACAGCCCCTATAGCACAACACCCTGACGCACTGCCGCCCCTATAGCACAACATCCTGATGAGCTGTGGTCCTACAGCCCCTATAGCACAACACCCTGACGCACTGCCGCCCCTATAGCACAACATCCTGATGAGCTGTGGTCCTACAGCCCCTATAGCACAACACCCTGACGCACTGCCGCCCCTATAGCACAACATCCTGATGAGCTGTAGTCCTACAGCCCCTATAGCACAACACCCTGACGCACTGCCGCCCCTATAGCACAACATCCTGATGAGCTGTAGTCCTACAGCCCCTATAGCACAACACCCTGACGCACTGCCGCCCCTATAGCACAACATCCTGATGAGCTGTAGTCCTACAGCCCCTATAGCACAACACCCTGACGCACTGCCGCCCCTATAGCACAACATCCTGATGAGCTGTAGTCCTACAGCCCCTATAGCACAACACCCTGACGCACTGCCGCCCCTATAGCACAACATCCTGATGAGCTGTAGTCCTACAGCCCCTATAGCACAACACCCTGACGCACTGCCGCCCCTATAGCACAACATCCTGATGAGCTGTAGTCCTACAGCCCCTATAGCACAACACCCTGACGCACTGCCGCCCCTATAGCACAACATCCTGATGAGCTGTGGTCCTACAGCCCCTATAGCACAACACCCTGACGCACTGCCGCCCCTATAGCACAACATCCTGATGAGCTGTGGTCCTACAGCCCCTATAGCACAACACCCTGACGCACTGCCGCCCCTATAGCACAACATCCTGATGAGCTGTGGTCCTACAGCCCCTATAGCACAACACCCTGACGCACTGCCGCCCCTATAGCACAACATCCTGATGAGCTGTGGTCCTACAGCCCCTATAGCACAACACCCTGACGCACTGCCGCCCCTATAGCACAACATCCTGATGAGCTGTGGTCCTACAGCCCCTATAGCACAACACCCTGACGCACTGCCGCCCCTATAGCACAACATCCTGATGAGCTGTAGTCCTACAGCCCCTATAGCACAACACCCTGACGCACTGCCGCCCCTATAGCACAACATCCTGATGAGCTGTAGTCCTACAGCCCCTATAGCACAACACCCTGACGCACTGCCGCCCCTATAGCACAACATCCTGATGAGCTGTAGTCCTACAGCCCCTATAGCACAACACCCTGACGCACTGCCGCCCCTATAGCACAACATCCTGATGAGCTGTAGTCCTACAGCCCCTATAGCACAACACCCTGACGCACTGCCGCCCCTATAGCACAACATCCTGATGAGCTGTAGTCCTACAGCCCCTATAGCACAACACCCTGACGCACTGCCGCCCCTATAGCACAACATCCTGATGAGCTGTAGTCCTACAGCCCCTATAGCACAACACCCTGACGCACTGCCGCCCCTATAGCACAACATCCTGATGAGCTGTGGTCCTACAGCCCCTATAGCACAACACCCTGACGCACTGCCGCCCCTATAGCACAACATCCTGATGAGCTGTGGTCCTACAGCCCCTATAGCACAACACCCTGACGCACTGCCGCCCCTATAGCACAACATCCTGATGAGCTGTGGTCCTACAGCCCCTATAGCACAACACCCTGACGCACTGCCGCCCCTATAGCACAACATCCTGATGAGCTGTGGTCCTACAGCCCCTATAGCACAACACCCTGACGCACTGCCGCCCCTATAGCACAACATCCTGATGAGCTGTGGTCCTACAGCCCCTATAGCACAACACCCTGACGCACTGCCGCCCCTATAGCACAACATCCTGATGAGCTGTAGTCCTACAGCCCCT